AACCTATTTTTCACATCGGGATTCTGGCGGGAGGCAGCCGGTACTTCAGCGGAATAGCTCAGGGTTGGTGGCAACCAGTACACTTTTCGTCTGCTCGCGGCATGTCCTCCATGGCTCGCGGACAGCTAGATGCATGACTGGTCGGCAACATCTACGCTTGAGCATGGTTTTCTTAGTTTCCGGGGACTTTGTTCTCGGGGGATTAAACAGCAGAAATCATTTTTGTGGTTCGGGAAATGTCGCCGCCGTTGTTTTGACACGCGAGATTCTTAGCCGCAATGGTGGGGAAATAGAAGAATCTAACTTCTGCAACCAGCGACGTGCCGCTACTAAGGACGGATGGGAGACGCGTAGTTCTACAAGTGGGGAACAATGGTGTTGAAAGAACATTCTGCCAGCAACTACCTTTTCTCCTGAAAGAATAACACTCCTCGCTCATTTGTCACAACGCGACAGACATCGCAGCTTGGCTAGTACACTGTCTGTGTAGCCAAGCGTCGCTTCTTGCGGGCATCCATGTTGAATACTCTGAACCGGTCTGCTGCCAGCGGGCGCAGGTGAGCGCCGAATCTGCTGTCGAGGGTAATCCGGTTGTTTTCCCCTAGGACACCGTCCGTCGTGTGGATGCGCCTGCAGGCGGATCATCCGCGGATTAGCTGTCCGCGTCCATGACAAATCCGGATTCGGTCCGTCGTCTGAATGCACCATAATGGGCACTGAGAGACAGAAGACAACAATTAGACACAAAGACCCGCACTCCACTTTAAGTTAAGGCACACGCTGCTAGTTTTTATTGATCAACAATGCACAGGATAAATCTCCCACCACCACTAGATTGGAGGTCAAGATACAGTGCTTATATATATATACGGGGTGACTAGTGAACGGTTGTGCAGCCCGAGCCGTCAGTTTAAGAAACTCGCTAGCAGACGCTGCCTGCGTCAGCGTGTCGAGGCGAGAGAGGGTGGAGCGCACGAGAGGAGAGAGGGTAAGGGACGCGCAATCTCAGTAAGGGTACGCCTGCCAGTAAACATCACGGGGAGGAAGATTTTTTATGTGATTCTTAAAAGATAGAAAAGAAGATGAAAAGTGAGCCCCGTAACTGTCTGCATAATAGTGCGACACCTCAACAGTAGCTCACGAGGTATGGAGGTAAGGAGGGATTAAAAGGATAGGATTAAAAGGTATAGAGTTAGAGGGGGAAGGAGAGAGCGTGGCGCAGAGACAGCGACATCCAGAAGCAAGGAGACGATAGGAAAGATGGACACGGTCTCAGGAGTCCGAGGACGAGGCACCACTCGTCGAGAGCTCTTGTTGGCTTCAGAAGATAACGTAGGGCGAGTCAGTCGGCCAGAGCTGGCTGTCGTCGGAGATCACGGAGCACAACCGGTCGGCACGAAATCCAGAGAGCGAGTTTGGAGAAATTTGTGGAAGCGAGCGTTTAGGTTAGCAGACGCTTCCTGCGTCGGCGCTGCGAGGCGGGAGAGGGGGAGCCGACGCGCAAGCGCAGTAAGGGTGGTCACGCCGCACACCGGATTGAGCTCGACCCTAGGCTGCTTCGCATTTAAATAAAGCCAAAGGTGAAATGGCAGCCAGCGTCTCTTTCGTTCTTTGTACTTGCGATCTTTTTGAAAAACTAAGTTATTAATCGAAGTTACCCGTCCGATGACTTAGCGCCGATCGCATGACATCACAGTGTGGCGAGAGCCAGGCCTGTAAAATTGGGAGTACTGCCAACACCGACTAAATTCCAAGGCCGAAAGGCTGCCGCAGTGACGTCAGAGGTTGGGGGCCCAGTTGCCCAACTGAGCGTGCTCAGTAAGACTTTTTTTTCCACATCTTTTATTCGGCCCAATCTAGCCGCAGCAGCTGCGAGAGCGGGAGCGTTTGTTCTCCTAAAACGCGACCGAAACACAGGCTTTCCGCAGCGTTCGCGGCGTAACTGGGCCTCCACCCTTTGACGTCACTGCGGCAGCCTTTCGGCCTTGGAATTTAGTCGGTGTTGGTACTGCACAGTGAGAGTGGCAAGGGCGAACTAATGAGAGGCATGCCAGGAAGGGGGAGAGCAAGGCCTCGCAGAAATAAACCAATAAGAGGAGAGTCAAGGGGGGAGAGTTGACTCAGCGTAGGAATCGAGCCGTTTTGCGTTAAGTAGGTCAGCGAGAATCCAGGCGGACTACAGAGGGCGTAGGCGAGAACCTCGATTGTCCCAAACGACCATCTGTCCATTGGTGCCCACACATATCTGCCCCCGTCATGATACAGACCCACAGTTGTGTCGCGGGTTTCATTACAATTGTTTCACCTGCAGTTCGTGAACCGGTTCACGGAGACGCTGCATTTCGGCATTCGTTTCACGAGTTCAACATGGCGGCGGTGGCACCACGGTATTGATTTCCAAAACGTGCAGCCATCGTGCCAGACAAGTTCACTACTAATTTTCTGCCCCTGTTCGTGCGGTTGTGCCGAGACTCTGCAGCACAAGAAGGCTGCAGCTGCATCGGAGAACAACATTCCTCTCTGTTTCAGTGCTTCTCAACAAGCATGTTCTACGGTAGTTGCACATGCAATGCAATTTAAGCAACACCGTCTTTTACGAATAAGTTATCACAGCCCCAATCCACCAGACAACCAAGTAGCATAGGGCTTGCACGACATATGCATTTTCGTATTCGTTTCCGCGTCGTGTTGCTGCTGCACTTGCTGAAACCAAGGTGGTTTAAAAAGAAATCCTGCTGTGTACGATCCCGCAACGCTTTGCCAGCAATAATGAGACCAGCTTCTGCTCTGCCAAGATCTAAGAAACGTGCTATTTCCTGGTGGTGCCCACTAGGACATCAAGTGGCTTTGGTCTGTTTGTCTAAAAGCTACTGCAATTATAAATTAAAATTACATTTCCATTGAAATAACCCACAGAGACTAGTATCTGTGACACTATCTTCGATAAAATTTGCCTTGAATTCAAGGCTTACTAAGGAAAGGTAGTAACACAAGGAGGCACTTTGAGCACTATCTGACCCGAAAAGCTTGTCACGTAACTCGGTTGCGCATGCGAGTCAATCGCCGAATGCCAACAGCTCATCATGCCCACTAGTAAGACTGCTGCCATAGCCGCCATCTTACGGTGGGTAATAATCCGCCGTCTTCACTCGTGAGCAATAATTGCCAACTCTGGCCACCTTATTTAAACCTCCTTGGCTGAAACATCCCCTGCACGACGGCGGCATCCAACGGCACTACCATAAACCAGCTCATGAAGTGTAGGGTGAATCGAATGAACCTATTGCAGAAATTTAAGTGCCCTGTTAAGTTTCGTAAAATATTCGAACATCGCTGCTCTGCCAAACATTATATTATGAACAGTTACGACGAATCTTTAATCAACAATATGCGCAGTGCTGATATAATATTTGCCAACAAACAGTTTGAGCGAAAACCAGCTAGCGCGCACTTTTTCCCCAGAAGGGCAGGCGCGCCGGCAAGCAATTCTACGCCAAGCGGTTCGCAGAAGCACCCAAAAGATGTGCATTCTCCCGATATTATACGCAATACAAGCACAATTAAAACACATACAAAAATAATCGATAAGCACTGTAGCAGACGATGCCTGCGTCGGCGTTGCGACGCGAGAGGGGGGGGGGGGGTCGCGCATGCGCAATGCTGGTGTAAACAAAATGGGGATGAATGCCTAGACGAGAGGAGGGGGAGCGAGCGTGGGAAGCAGACGCTCCCTGCGTCGGCATTGCGAGAAGAGAGTGGGGAACGAAGGAGAGGAAAAGGGACATGCATGTGCAACAGGGGTGTTAACGCCCCTGGGAGGGATACCTGGAAGAGAGAGAGAGGAGCGAGCGCAAGCAAGTGTTGGGAACTCGAAGAGTAACGAGCAGCTGTTGGAGAGAGAGGTGGAGAATGGCGCATGCGTAGTGCGAGTGCGGACGCCGCCGACGCTGGGGGAAATAGGCCCGAGCAAGCGATGCTTCGCATATAAAAACATGGCATAGCCTAATGGCCACAGGCTTTCGCAGAACACGCTTTGGAATGAAGTGTAAATCTTTACAATAGTGAGTATGAACTTTCATTATATTTGAAGGAGGAAGCCGCCCGACGTAAACGTCAGCAAGAGCTGACGCGGCAACAGTAATATTTTATCGGTGAGCCATCGCCATGTTCCCGCAAGAGAGACCAAAGCTAAGCACCAATGAAGGGATCCCTTGAAAAACACTCAAGTATTGATAGCCAGATGAAGGAGGAACATCAAGATCGCTATTTCAACAATGTTTGCAAAGTAGAGGAGGCTAGATTTTTCCGTTTTTGCGTTGTCCTGTAATCAGGGTTCATTGAATAAAAAACAAACAGAAAAAACGAAACTCTATAGTAACCTGTTTTCGGCCAGGCCACAATCTTTCTTAATGATACATTTATCCAGTCATAGGGTTTTCATGCCAAGCCACGATCAATTTGAACGTTACATATAATTATAGGCTTGCGCTCAGCTTCGTCGTTTCCGCCCGCCATAGTTCTGCCGGGCGTCGCTACACGCTGGCGCAGTCGGCAGAAATGTAGTGACTAAAATAAATATTTTGATATTGGTGGTTAGATCCATACTATGATTATCCACAGCTATAGGCTACAAAACAAAAAATATAGGCATCTTAAACGTTCTTGAGGGCCTCCTAAGGCTAAAATTGTATAACATGTTATAGTTAATTAGCATTTTAATGAATCTTCATTGTTGTTGATTACATGCCTGTTGATTATAGGCAGTATTGTAAATTAAAAGGGCCAATAACATGCAAAAACATGAGAACTTGGGTTACTTTGTGCATCAATGAACCAGAACAAAAAATATACGAAATGTACGCAGAGGACAAGGGATTTCTTGAAGGTATTTGATCTTCAAGCAAGGATTACTACTTTCCCAAAATTAATGAATACTTCTACTTAATGGCCAAACAACCAACAGGTGGAGACAAGTGCACAAGTAAACACAGACAAGCAGCTTGGGATATGTGTAGAGATATATTAAAACCGTCCGGTTCTGTACAAAAGGAAGCAAGTCGCGCCGTGGAACACTCCCACACAAATGTAACACACGCAACACAGAACACTGTGTGTTATTCTTAACACTGTATAAAATGCAACAATATTCGCACATAAGTATACACACTCTGAACGCTAATAACACGTGAGACATGGCCACTACCTCGTCAGTGCAAAAAAGCAGGCGACTCTTACACACACAAAAAAAAAGCCAAACTAGTTCATTTTATCTACATTGTTCTCATACACACAGCATAGCGCATGTCCTTACAGCTGCATCTACAGCTCCAGAATTGTTTCTGTAGCACAAACTGTGGGACGTTTCATGATGCTGGGCACAGGCTAAATGGTGCAATTGCGCACATGAGAATACAATATCCGTATCAAACACTCCACATAAAACACACCTCTTATAATTGAAGACTGCACGTAGAACAGAGCACAAACACATTTCTCATATCAAAAGTTACATGGATTCAAATCTGTGAAAGCTTCTTTAGAGTAGTTCCAACAGACCAGTTTGTGCAACCTGAAAGTGCTTTGAAGCTCTGGTGCACGAGTGCTAGTGACAAGTGAACACAACCTGACCCATCCTCTTTTTCTTCTTACAAACCCAGCATGCGACTTCCAGCAATACGAACTCTTGCCCAACGCACATAACGAAGTCACGTTCAGCATAGTGCCCAGATTTTATTTTTTAATGAGAATTTGGAAAATTCAGCCTTATATGCAGTGTGGGGACCATCCGGCGTGGAGAAATGCTTCTGCACATGGTTCCTTCTATTCGTTTTTAAGTGTGGCATTACAGCTAACTGTGATGTTCATCGTTTGCTGAATACAAACCAATGTTTGGTCAAACAGCGTGCTACATTTCTGACAACTTCATTACAGATAGAACAATCTGTAATCTTGTAAAGCAGCAATGAACTAGGCTTTTCAGTAAATGTTCTGAGACACACTTTCAAGTTTCAGTAGCAAATCATAAGTCACCTTGCTGCACGACCTGCAGCTTATGAAGAGCAGAGACATTGTCAAACATAGATTGCCAAGCAAACGTTTCGACAGGGGCACTTTTCCTAATGTTAACCACACAGCATTTCTTTCTAGACAACTCACCGCCTTAAACCTATATCTATCTCTGAAATGCTGTCTTTTTTTTTTTAAAGTCCTCAAGAACTATTATTTCAGTGCAGGATTTCAACAGTTAATATTTGTTTTAAAAAATCAGAACAGCGCCATTACAGAAAATACCCAAAGACCCCATCGTTGAAGTAGAATACAGCTATCAAATGAGCTAAATTTTTCCAAACAAGCATACCGTTTCCTTGTAGTAGAAAGAGCATAACGATCATGCCTCGTGACATACGGATTCGCGAAATATGGCTAACGAAAAATCAGCTAGCCTTAGCAATGATGAAGTAAAGGCATTCATAAATTAGTTAACAAACTATCAGCAGTTCCTAATTGACTTAGAGGGGTTAGCTTTTGCTGCGCTGTACCTTTCAGAAATTAATACGTCTACTAGCAACATCACATCCCCAATCCTAGTTGTATAAAACAGCACTTGCATTAGCCTCGATGACGACTCACTGAAAAGTGCACAGCAGACAACAGCTGTGTTCCCCGCACCACTCTGACAACTCGAAGAACTAAAGTCATTTAGCACAAAGGCCACTGATGCATGAATGCTGGACAAGAACGGTTACTACACCTGCAACAAGAAAGAAGTGGTGCTCCTTGTTGACCTAGAGGAACACCACTATTGTCTGAGGATCCATTAAAAGGAATTTAGGTACACTAACAACACCAATCAAATGACAAATTCAATATTTTTGTGCAGGATTCCCATTGAAAGTACAATTTATGGTGCCATATCGTCAGTTCATTACAGAAGAACCTCATAACAAATGCAAATACCGAATGGATTGAAAAAAAAAAAAGTTAATAAAATATTTTGCTTACAAATATAAGCAATGAACAATAGTATTAGTAACCATGTTGGGTTACCATGAGGGCATGCTTTGGTTGGATGCAACTTTGCCATAGCGACATTTTATTTCAAATAAATTAGAATGTGGGGTTATTTGCCCTATGCAACTCTAGGTTACAAATTTTTAAGACATCTATTTACAATAGTCTGAACAGTGACATTACAAGAAAAGTCTGGGGACATCATAATTAAGTAAAATACAGATGTCACATATGCTTACTTGTTCAAACAGGCATGTGAAGTAGGCATGCGAAGTAGTCAAAAAAGGCATGGAATTAACTGAAACAGTTTCTGGCCATATATAAAACATACAGGAAAACTTTCCTTGAAGTGCTAGTAACATTCTTATGCTACTTGATGCTGCATTAAATTGGCTTTACACCTTTTCACACTGTTGCCAGCAAAGTACACAACTGCACCTACAACAGAACAAACTTCAGCAAAATATCTATTGGTGTAAACAATCTGGTGCCTTATGTAAATGCTTAGAAGTCATTTTGCCATAATATCTAACAGAGAACTTGCTGAAGACTTCTTCAAATCTGCTGACAATGGCAACCACCGCTCTGTTAATTAGCAAACATTGTTGGAAAAAGCATGCGCCCGAGCTTGGGATGGAAGAAAACTTTTTCCACTAGGTGCAGTAGCAAGAAAGTACATCACACATTGCAATAAGGCTCAATGTTTACTTTAATGTTAACAGAGGCACGTTGGGATGAACACATGAGAAAGTCCACTCAGAGGCACTGCTGCCACAGTCTCAGAAATGCTGCTTTCTTCTCGGTTGTCACCAAAACTGACAGAAACGCTTCAATGAAGTCTAGCTGCCACGAAAAGCACTCACGACGATGTTGTGTAGCGGTTCGTGTTTTCAATGTGTCGAGAAAACGAGGAACTTGTGCTGTGGGCTTTGGCTGACCACTAAATGACTACCAAAGTCTGTCCTTATTCAAAAGCTGTCACTTTTTCAAAACAGTTCGCTTTAGAAAGGTTACTGTACTCTTCAATGAAATACATACGTCGAACAAGACTCAAGCTTTGTAGAAATCGCAACTTGCATTTCACCCAGTGTTCAAAAGTTCAGATTTGCATCGCAAGAGCTGCGAATGATGGATGGGAATACAAAATTGGATGCAAATTATTGGTAATATGTTCCAATGTTCACACAAAGCTGACTCCCTCTCACTGAACTTTGGGATGGTAGTGCAACCATCAGGAATTAACTCTTGAAGTGAACCCTTATGTGATAGTCACTTCTATAATGTGCAGCGAAAATCTTTTCACACAAATGACCAGGCCTGAGGCGGATGTGCTGATCGATAACCCAACGGCACTCACCAGTGCAAGACATGCTGCGTGGCTCATTGTCCTTTCTGTCGTGCTTAAAACACTTCAACAACCAACTGGGTGCATTGCTTGCGACAAAATAAAGATGGAAGCAGCATCGCACAGTGTTGATCATCCAGGCTCAGTACTCACACAGTGTCCGCCAGTAAAAAACATGAACCAACGAAACGAGGTGCTGCAGTGCAGGGCCTTGATGAGTCTAATTTGTAACCATCCTCATACCAACTTTTTTTACACAAACACGAAAGCTGTGTCCTGGCACTAAAAAACCTGAGGTTCAACACCGTTGTGAAAATGCAAGTTCATCCTGGCGAGGCCTGTCGACACTACGGCAAGTCGTCAGGCGGAAAGAGCACCGTTGGATAAGATTCCTTAGGCAGCACCACAACTTCTTCCTGCGGCTGAACAACAGGCTCCTCCACCCCTCCGACGGCACCAAGCTCTTGCTGTAGCACGTGCACGACTACGGGCGCATTGGCTGCCACACCGCCGATTGCACCACCACCTACGACTCCAGCAGCGATAGCCGCTTGGTGTATGGCACCGGAGTTGGCCACCGGAGGAGACCCATCAGTGGCGGCTGCAAGATTCGTGACAGACTTGCTCTTGACGCACTGAAAGTCGACGTGCCGGCTCTTGGCCTCCTCCTTCTCCCAGGACATGCGCAAGAAGGGACGCTGCACGTAGTTGTAGATCACCTCAGAGCGCCCGCCTGGTCGACGCTTCACTTTTTCCTTGTGCGTAGGGTAGCCTGCAGAAGAATGCAGTTTGTCCGCGCTCATTTTAGCGACCAGTAATAGTTTGGACAGACCTAACCTAGAAGATGGCAGATTACCTCCAAAATTGAACAAATCCCACTTAGCAATCGGCAATGTTCTCCGAAAGCATGGTCAATGGCAGTTTGGCTCATGAGATCAGTTTCATGCATCTACACACTACAGCAGGCTTGAGCAAAATATTGTAGGCTTCTGAAGTCGCACCCAACTGTCGTTAGCTTGAGATAATAGTCTACAGAAGGACTGTCCCAATTTCATTATGCAGCTTTCCCAAAAGGCTGCACTCATGCTACCAAGTCTCTGACTACATTGTGTTAATGTTCAATCTTTTACCACTTCTGATTGCTTTTATTTTTTCTTGGTATCCATCATATTACCGTCAAATGCTGAGCAAGCGCCCCCACTCGAGTAAGCTGCTTGTTTCAGGAGATCTGAAATAAGCGCCAAATAAGCGCCAATCATCGGTCCCGGATGGAGCAAGCGCCGCCATCCCAAATCTAGTCTAATTGTCCTTTACCGTATAGGGGAGGGGGGGAGGGGGGGAGGGCTTGCTCGACATTTTACTGTAGGATGCCAGCTGGTTCTGCTTTTTATGCCTCGGGATGTGCACCATTTAATAAAAGTAGTATCCTATTTCATATGCACAGTGAATAAATTACATTTATTGCCATAGCTCTCCCAGTTGTGCCCATTATCTATTGAAGATGTGGCGGTTTGAAATTGACGGATGGCAAATATAGAGGATATCATAATATGGCAGCACCGACCATTCATCTACATAGCATAGTAAATACAATCTATCACAAGACCTATAGCGATGATTTTATTTCTTCAAAAGTAGCCATGACTTTACCATAATTTTTCTGTACTCTAGTTTGGGAAACAGAGGTCCTATTGTGACAAGCAGCTATACTAAATCATCCCTGAACAAAAAATCAATGCCATGCAAGTAACATTTAGAAAGTATCACTGGCACTTGCATGAAGTTTTCAACTATGCGCAGAAATTCCTCCCCACCTCAGGCTTGACTAGCAATGTATCAGCTATCAATCACAAATTGCATCAAAACTACAGACAATTTCAAGAAAATTGGCGAATGTTGCAGGTAATAGCTTGCTGCCCACTGCAGATGCCTTAAAATTAACAATGCTATATGTGCAGCACTCACCTTCAATGCCAAGCCTGATTTTTTTAAGGCCACGCTCCTTGAGCACTTGCTTGGCAACATCTCGATTTTCTATATACTTGAAGAAGCGGTACATAGCTGTGCTGTGAATGACTGAAAAAGACAAAGGCAAAAGTATAAGCAAAGTAACATGGCTACTTGACTTCTCTACGACACCCCCTATATTTACAAAAACAGTAAGTAGTAAAACACACAGTGTGGATAATGAGGGGGACACAGGAAGGAAAAACACAGCACTTCACTAACATGCAAAGGTTTACTCTACTGGATGCAGTAAATAAATCTGCCTACAACAAAGCCAAATGTTCCCCATTAATTTACTCACTTTGGGAATGCTCTTCCCCTGTCTGCGGCGGGTACTCCTCATCCCAGTCAACTGTGTCATCATCCAGGAGAACCACTATGTGACACTCGCGGTCACCTCTCTGTAGATTAAAAACAAAAAAAGCACATACACACATGAGGTAAGTTATCTATCTAAAGAAACAAACAATGCAATGTGTTTGCATCATCAAAGCACAAGTTTTTTTAGAAAAGTCATCGGAGACCTTTTTTATTCATATCTTGGATTCAGTGAAAATATGAGAAGACCACCAATGAATCGCTTAAGCAAGTGATATGATGTTAAAATCAATATTTAAAGATAGATTTGATTGGATGCAAAGTTTTATTAGGATAATTTAATAATGTGTGATAAAAGCTTAGCTCGCTGTCGATACCCAACCAGAACAGCCTTTTTGGAAACATTAAGAGGTTGCAAGAAAAGGCTTAGATGAAACAAATATTTTTCTTGAAATCTGCAAGGGTCCAGACCGAGTCACATGCAGAAAGGTGGATCAGCTGACGTAACCCACTGTAACCTGTCTTTCAGTCAGTGCAAGTGTGCACTGGTAAGCAACGCCTTCAAAGCACTAGAATCTATCCAAAGTGGAAGCACTCCAATCTGGACTTTTTATTTTTTGGCTTACAAGAACTATTGGCACTACAATTGATGCCTTTGCTATTCCGAAAGCCTAATCAATAAATTTCGAGGGAGTTATTAAAATTCACAAGCACAACTTCATTGGACCTTATGGAGAGAGGTATCCAGATAAAAGGAAGGTATGACCGCTCACCTGTGCAGCAATCACCATCCTGCAGACAATCAAATCTTCAAGGAACTTCTCAAACTGCTGGCGAGCTCCCTCATTAGATAGCTCGTGTAAAAGGCCCCCTAGTGAATGAAGAGAGAGGTAAAGAATAATTGCTGCTCCATCACAAAACACAGCAACAAGGCATAGACTAGCACCATACACATCAATGTATTGACTATTAGGTGATGTACACCGTGCCTCTTAAGATAAGCAGAAGCACCTGCAAGTTGTAATGAAACATTCAATAGATTTGCACAACTATACGCCATTCCTGTAGCACGACTTTCTCTCTTAACAATAATTATTGATCGTATTTAGATTCTATTACCATTTTGATAATTGCTAATATAGGATCCACTAAGCTTAGACCTTTGGCACCTTCAATGTTCATATTCAATCTGTTTACACAGAGTTATCAATGAAATTTAGCTACTAATGGGAGAGGCAGATGCCACACTGACGAGTGCAAGATAGGTATGGGGTGACAACAGGAGTGCAATAAATAAAACACCTAAGCTGCAGCAAAGAGAACAAAATGGCAGTTACATACTGAGGTTGTGGCACTTGACAGTTTGGGCATCAAACGGGATGAGAAGGTAGTCGCATGCCTCTCGCAGCTCAGGCACGGTGACACTTGGAGGACAGTAGATGACGCCAGTCTTGTAGTAGTCCTTTAAGAGCGTAGAAGGGGATGTGTGAAGGAATATGCGGCAATCACTACACTAACATTCACCAGCATCTTTTAACCTTTCACAGTTCTGAGGAAGCAGCGAGTGAAGTGCAACTTCAACACAAACTCTGAGGTCGCTTCAAGAGATAAGCAGACGCTCATGGGTGACCATGCCCTATAGGGCAAAGCACAGGTGGTGAGAGTAGGAGGTGTGTGTGCATTGCAACATTGGCAAAGAAAGTGACTTCCTTCATTCATCATAACCAGAGGCAGCCAATATTTCCCAAAACTAATGCACTTCACGAGCGGGCCTTCACAAACAGCGAATATCATGGAGAGGTACTACTTGCATCTCGCTACGACTATTTCTACCCGCTTCATAATCTAGAGCCCATAGAAGTGTGACAGCTTGGGCTAGTTGGTATGGCATGACGATAGTTATAGCGTGAGAACAAAGCGACGACACAGAGACAAGAAGGACACCAAAGGACACGAGCGCTCGTGTCTTTCATGTGCTCGTGTCTTTCGTGTCCTTCTTGTCTTTGTGTCGTCATTTTGTTCTAGAGCCTATAGTTTAGAAAACGTGCTTCTGCAAACACTGAAAAAATTAATCTACCAACCTTAAAATGTGCCCCCTATAAACAAGTTCACCACAGCTAGATTCTCTGGATGTTAGACAGTTAAACAGAAAAAAGGAATCCCCAGCTTTTATATATAATGCAATGAAAGAATAGTGACCGAGTTCTTTCTTCATGCCTCTATATTTATATGGTTTAAGCATGCAGAGGTAACAAGAATGAAATAAATCTTGAAATGTAGGCTCCACCTGCTGCATTATGTGACTACATGTGCAGTCACAATGCAAAAATCATTGCACCACTGAAACATCGAATACTTTCAGAATATTCAGTTTGATAAAAAATGTCTCACACCATCGCACTTACCAGGATGGCCCTGAAAACTGTGGCAGACAAGCCTTCAGCCACCTCGTACTCTCCCCGCTCATTAGGCCTCGTAATGTTGTTCTCCAGTGATGAGCCAAACATGCTGAAAGCAAAGCAATCATTTTAAATTAATTATGCTGCCACACAGACTACCACATCTCAGAACTTTTAGCTTCATTAGCTAGTCGGTTAAGTTTCATAGCCAGACAGTGCAGCTGGAACAGGACTGGCATGAATGAAGAAAGCATCTGTACACAGCACAATGTTGCAGCACCTTCATCTTTATGGCTGTCAGTCACTCCTCATAGCCTAATTCAAAATGCGCGCTCCAGGGATCACAATATACACCTGATCGTTTTAATTTAAATAAAAACATATGAATAACAATATATTGAATATAAACCGCATATGAATAAAGCCGGGAAAGGTGTTCAAATATCACGTATGTGTGTAACATTAAAAAAATTCAAAGCAAAAAATATAGACTCATTACTCTGTCACGATGAATTATTAAAACTGCAATTTCCAAGGCTGTGGCAGGTAGGGGAAACTACAGGCAATGAGATAAATACAAATTATCAAGGTGAAAAATTATTTACTCCACGTGCCTACAAAGTAAGCGTACCTCCATTACATTTAGCAACTAACTTGAAAATGAGAAAGACTCTATAACATCAAACTGAGCTCACAGATTGTAATGTACGCTTGCAACAGCAGTTCTTTTTTTTTATAACTTTGCATCTCTGCCATTTGTGGGCTAGTGTTTTTTTTTTTTTGATACTGTAAGAAACATTGCAAAAGATGTAGTATTGAAATACTACATTTTTTGCAATGTTTTCTTTCCGTTATCTGTAAGGGCATTGCTACAGTGGCGTCGTACTTTGAATCATCAATGGGCTGCTCGGTCTCTCCACTTCACAAAAAGATGGAGGAACATTTGCGGAACAATCTAAGATCAGTCACACCGTAAGCAATGAACTTTTATCTGACTAGATATCATTGTGGTAAAAACAAATGGTGGGCATCGGAACAGCCACTATGGCAGAAAGTCATTAGAATCCACAGAGAGGCAGTTGGAAACTGATTACAATTGTGCTTTAAGCGAAGTAGGTTTACAATGACCCTATTAATGATGTTTAATTAAAAAGTATGTACGTGTTGCCCTTCGTATTCACTTGAGTGAATACTCAAAGTCCGTTGTAATCGCTGCTACTACTAGAATTTACCTCAATGTTCGTAAGAATTAATTACCAATAGCTTTGACACTAATTTTTTTTATAACATAATATAAGAGTGGCCTCGCTATCATGGAGCTCAATAGAAACAGAGTTGAGGAAGAGCCTCGGTGACTAAGTCTGAAGCCGCTTTACTATGCTGAACTGTATCTCGTATGTGGTTACCATAGCCACATTCATTCATGCAAGCAATACTAAGGCGGTATGGTGACCAGAGTGCATGAAATATAAGCTTACTGCATGGGAAAAAACGGTGATATGTGGGTGTGCGTTTTATAGCGCTACTCACCAAGGAAACTCGCCTATCTTTCATGTGGATGACGGCAGCTTTCTTTCTAAGAGATTTCTTGTCAAGACTGCCCTCTTCTCCACATCCTTTTCATGACCCATTAGTGTATCCATGTTCCTTTCACACAATAAAACTTTGGCGGTAAGTCCGCCCTTGGTCCTATCTTCGTTTTGTCCTGCGGTTTGGGTTGTTTTTAGTTTACTTGAACAAGTACCGACCAGCCCAATAAGCACTCTAGTGTTTTCTCCTCCCGCTGACTTGCCTTTCACAAACCTGCTGTAGCTGGGCTTTCTATCTTGCTTATGCTTGGCTGATGCTATGCTTTCCCCTATGCAATGAACTTTCCCCTGTCACCCATACTCTCGCTGCCTTTTCCGGTCGACCTCCTCTAGCTTCTCTTTTCCGTTCACCTCCTTCTCTCCCACAGTTACCTCATAATTGCTTGCCTTGGCACTACACGCGCTCGTCCCATTTACACATGCGCTACATGCACTCGTCCTATGCACTCGCCTCATTTTTCAGCTTTTCTACTGCTGTGAACAAGATCGTTCTTGATGGACCTGGAGGGGTATAAAGGTGGAAATGCATGGCGATATGCAGAGAGCGATTTCTGGCACAAGTTACACCCAGTTATGGCCCAGTTCACGTTGTAACAATGGCCTGGTTGCAAGAAGCAGAATCACTTGACGACCGCCATCACTAAATAACACCGCTGCGTCTTCCTACTCAGAGTAGAAAAAGAAAACACCTCGCGCAGCACGTCGCCCGTTCGTTCGACAAGCGGGGCTTAGGTTGCACACTTTGTTTGGTCTCTTCCGATGACTCCAGACGACACTGACCTTTTGAAGCCGGTGTGGGCTTTCTACAAATATCTAGCAATGCAGCGCACCATCTGCCTATATGTCATCGGCGTTAATCCTAGAATGTCCAGATCTTATTGTTATGTGTAGGTTGTGTTGCCTTTTGGTAATAATTCTTACTCAAGACCTCAAAGTAAGCACTAGTGAGAGGCTGCTATGTGCCACTCGTCGCCCGAGGTCTAGGGCCAGATCATGAATTGGACCAAGAGGGTAGCAGAGACCTAGGCTGCGTAGGCTCCTCTGACACTCCACCACCGCATCTTTCCCTCTTGGGATAAATAAAAACTTTCTCCTCCTTTCCGTGCCGATGCATTTGCATCTGCCGCAATGCAGGCGTTCTCCGTGTGTCACGCATGGTTTTTTTATATAACGAAAAGCACCATGCGGTTCCGGCTTTGCTCCACTATAAAACATTGCCCAAGCCATACGAAAACCTCAGCTGCACACAGGGCACCAAAAACTGACTGAAACAGGCTATGTCGGTAACCATAGTTGCCGTGTTTCAAAATAAGGATGCCAGTAAAACATGGCTGTTCTCATGGAGTTTCTCAAATTAACTGGAGAGGATTGCGGTGCTGCGATCATTCAGCCACCATGAGAATGATGGAAAACACACAGATTGGCCGAGTTTGTGGTTGCGGGCTTCAAACGCACTTGTAGCTTTGTGGATTGCTGTGTTCTAATTCTGGTTCGATGAAAAAAATGCACCACCGTGTTAAATTTATAATAAATTTGAACTGGTCAGCCTAAGCCAAGGTGCTGAAAAGCGTAACAGCTGAACTTTTGCTGGACTCCGTCTAGCAGCAAAGCTATTTCAGGGCCAACGAAGGCAAATGGAGCCGAAAGTACGAAGATGAGACAAATCAGTGTACTACCCATCATCCCCGTGCAGACTGAAGCGCCGTGTGTTGCAGCTCCCATAGACACTCATCTAGTGTATTTTACGTAAAACTCTATATACGGGTGCTCACCGTCCCAGCATGGTGTCCGGCTGCAGAGCAAACAGCGCGGGATCGACGACGAACCGCGTGTTGTCCACGATGAGGGTGACCCGCTCGTCCGAGCCTGTGGACAGCGCCGACATGGCAGCCGCCACTGCAGGCACGCACTCACCGTGGCCGCCCGTAGCCATCACGCCTGACCGGGGTCACGCGAAACGGCACACCGCTGCTTTCGGTGGAGCTGGAGCCGCTGCCCGATGAGCTGCCCCCGTGGCCAGCACTTCCCGACTGGCTGCTAGGACAATAGCTGACCGCGTCGGCTTCTGCAGTACACCACACACAACATGCTCGAAGATTTAAGGATTTAATGAAAAAGAAATTGTTGAGATCATGTCGCCACTACGAGGCTAAGGTTGTTACTCCTAGTTCAATGCTTGAAAAATGGAGAAGATAAGGACAGGGGAGCGTGGCCTTCCAATTGTTTGGCAGTCCGCGTGTTTGGTAGTTTGGTACACGTGGTTAATATTATGAATCCTCAGTTATTCGTAACTACATCACTTCCTTTGAGGACCTTTAGTGGCTAAGGTACTCGGCTGCTGACCCGCAGGTCGCGGGATCAAATCCCGGCTGCGGCTGCTGCATTTCCGATGGAGGCGGAAATGTTGAAGGCACGTGTGCTCAGATTTGGATGCGCGCTAAAGAACCCCAGGTGGTCGAAATTTCCGGAGCCCTCCACTGCGGCGTCTCTCATAATCATATGGTGGTTCTGCGATGTTAAACCTCACATATCAATCAATCAATGAATCCTTTGAGTGCCACTGAGACATTTTCTTTTACAGTTCTCTAGATCCATAAAAAATTCAAAATAGCATGTAACGCAAGAAAACACGAAAGGCTCACGAAATATCATGTATGCACACCACCACCTCATCGACACAACGCTATTAGCCACTGGGAACAGCTTGGGCAAAAGACTAAAAAGGGCGGTTATCACCAGGACCTTGCTATCGGCAGCCTATAAGACACGCGTCAACGGTCACAAAGCTGCAGCGCGGGCAGTGCTACTGGAGCGGCCATACGCAGCTTCGCACACATGTCAGTCGGCGACTGCGTATTCAGTTGCGAGCGAAAGAGCAGCGGTGGCCGCGGAAAGTTCGATGTAGCTGCAAATCTTGGGAGGGAAGCCACCCCGTAGGAGACTGGTGGCATAGGCGTGGGGAAGAGTCCCCATCGGGAGCGTCACCCCTCGTTATTATTACCACCCGAGTCACAGCACCCCCAAATATATGGGCTGAGCCGACTTCGCGCCCCCCTCTTTGGCGACATAGAGGGGCAGCCCCCCACCCCCCTGCACACGCCTATGATCGGCGGCTTGGTAACGCGACACCAAAAACTATTTATTTTATTGCTATAGAAATCATATAGGCAGTCTCGGCTGGTTTTTGCCGTCGCCGCCGCCGTCATGTACGTGTATATACACATATATATACGCACACACACACGCAGACACACACACACACACACACACACACACACACACACACACCACACACACACACACACACACACGGGGAAGGATGCGCTATAACTCCTTTTTTGGGGGAGCAAAGATCGCCTTTCCGGCCGGGGTCATCTGCGCGCGCGCTTATCTCGTGAGCGAACAGGGGTAGGGAGGGGGGGGGGGGGGAGCATGGCTCTTAAGTTTGCCCCGCGCTATCGCGGCAACAATCAGGGTGCGGCCTGTGCCACCACAGCAAGTGGGAGCTTCTACTAGCTGCACTGTCAACACAAAAAACATTGTGCCAAAAGTGTACCCGGAGCGGCCGTGTTCTATTAGACCACCATTTTGTAAAGTTACGTGAGATGAGATCTAAATGAGTTGACTGCCAGCTTCACTTCGTATATCAACGCCGTCACTACGCACGAGCCTCGTTGTGGTCATGTATAGTGTGGCCGCGGCGCAGGAAATTCGGTTACTTAGCAAGCGCATGTTTAGTACAATTATTACTGCTCCTAAAAACGCTAGCCTTGCTTTGTAAAACATTCGAAGATGTTGCTATCGCATTCACTGCTTCGCGCCTTTTGGCGAAACTGACTTTGTTTTTCTTCTTTTTATCGTTAAGCACTTGTGTGCCCACTCGTCTGAAAAAAACGTACGCGTGCTAACGTTGCCCTGTTCAATTGCTGTAGCGGCCTGTCCAGGCGTATACGTTGGTTCTATTTACCCTTTGCTGCGTTACGATTCCGACCGGCGCCTTGATGACACATTCTACAACTGCCTGGAGGCCACGACGTGGGCATGACATGAAGGCGGACTGAATGCGTCCCCACAGCGTGAACGGTATGCATTCGAGGTCCTCCGCGATGACTGCTGGCGTCGGGGTCACCATTTAGGAGGTCCGCGGCGCTCGCCGCACGCGCATAAAACTCGCTGCACGCTCTGTATCCGTTATCCGCACGGCTACTTGAATATATAAAGGCCTGCTGAGCACGTCCTGCACGTCGAAGCACGGACAACCATGCGAACGGACCTCCAAAATGTCACGGCGTTGATGTTGCCCTCTTGCGAATCGAGGCTCAGTGCACACCCCCTATACGTTTGCATAACGAGTGCCCAGTTTCTCGTAACTACATCACGTCCTTTGAGCACCACTGAGACTTTTTTTTTTCATTTCTCTTTATGCATAAAGATTGTAACGAAAAAAACCCATTAAAAATAGATTTTTATTTATCGGCGTCTTGGTAAATCGCTGCGATGTTTTAGCCGTCAAAAGCAGCCTGAAGAACGGAGTTTTGCACAGAATTAGGACATTTAACCAAGGAAAAATAATACGTGTACGCCTACCAACGCGACAAGAAAGTGCGAGCTGATTAGAATAAAAAAAAAACGTAGGATGAAGTAGTAAGGAAAATGTAAAGCAAACTTGGGAAACTAAGGCTAGAAAGAGCGAGGGCGATGACTAAAGTGAAAGACGACTTCAAGGTTTACAAGAGTCAGCGAGCGCCATCAAGTAACTCGGCTTTAAGACGAACAGGATTACACGTTCATAGAGGAAACAACACAAGCACCGCCAAACGTTAAAAGAAAAAAGCCGCTTCCAAGGACGCAACGCGAGATCAGCAAATGATGCAGCACCCAACTCAAAGACGCAAGCACTTTAACAAAACTTGCGGGAAGCAAGAGCTATCATTCTCCACTCGACTTCCTCCCGCGCGCCACTCATCCTCAGCCCACCGCGGGCCCCTCGCTAGGCCTAACGAGTGCGACAGCTGTTGCCTGCCAGACGACGGGAGTAGCATCGAAGCGTAAACTGGCGCGCTCCTCTTCGGAGAACCCATCCTCCGTCTTCCTGACTGTGCGGCAGAAGCCATCTCACGCCCGTCAAGGGAGTGTTCTTCCGGGCGTAAAGAAAACTTATCACCGAACCCGACACCGCATATACAACCGATCAATCCAGATAATTTTGACATCGTAGAATATACAAAAGTCACAAACAGTGATGCTATGGGGCGAAAGCAAAGAAAAAGCCATTCAGTTTTGGCGAATGCTCTCGCACCATTCGGCAACAGAACAGCAAAATTACATCATTAATGATCATAAAATAAAGCATTTCTTGCAAGATCATGTCGATTTGCATTTTAAAGCACACAGAAAAATGTTAAAGAAAGGAACAGTATAAATACTGCTTTCTTTGAAACTGTTTAGTGTCAGTAAGTAGCTTATCATTTGGCGCCCGCGATTCATTATACAGATGTACCGCAACTGTCGCGTCATTCGACTGGTCCATAGCTACTCTCGATTGTTCTAGGCAAGCCTGAACGCGCAAGGGAACAGCCAGCTGGACAATGAGATTGTCACGTGGTTGTGACTGCGACGGACGGAAAACCCAAGCCAGTAAACATAAAGATCCTTTCTACTGGACGGACTTGCGCGCAGGTAAGGAACAACAAGCAACACTTGCTGTACGATAACGACTCTCACCGTAGGCGTGCACATGTGCACGGGGAGGGAGGGTAGGCGTTCGCCTAACCTGTGAGGATTGGGGGGGGGGGGGGCAAGACGCTAAGTCACCCCCAAACATTGGCATGATCGGGAGGAGGGGGGGTCGTTGCGACGAACCTTCGCACTGCGTAGTTTCACCTGATGCCATGCTCCAATTATTAGAATTTTTTAGAAATGAAAGCGCAACAAACAAACGCTACATAAGACATGTTTTTATTCATTCACGAGAACCTACGCAACTGGTCAACGAAGGCTCCCTGGGCGCCGCCATTAAGCCCCTCTCATCTGTTGGTACACGTGACCTCCCCCCCCCCCAGAAATGCATTGCCAAGGTTATGACGTCACATGCACTCTCCTGTAAGAGTTCGTAAGGGAGGTGGTCTTTTGAACACGAAAGCGTTTTATGCCGGGGTCCACCACTGCTCCACTGGCGTATTTCCGTCACGGATATGACGTTGTGAAACATATATTGCCACGTTCCATTTCACAAGTTTTTGTTATCGTTCCGAAACACCACACGATTCTCGGCGCAAACCGCGCCTGCAGGTTTCGAGAAGGTTCCGGACTGTAGTAGATCATTTCGATAAGATCACGCCCACTGTGCGAACGGTACAGATTGTTCTGGAACCTACGCCACCGCCAGCGATAACGCTAGGACATTCGACGGCAAGGGTATAAATGCCGACGCGCTTCGCCGCTTGTCAGTTGTTGATCGAAGGCCGACGCTGCGTTCGCCGCTATCAGTCCGAGACTGCTATCTGTGCAAGACTGCTGCTGTAATTAGACTTTCCCTTTACCGGGCACAGGTTCGCCCAAATAAACAGTTAAATCCCAACACGAAGTTTTCTGTCTTTGGCCACGTCACGACCCCGTGACATCTGGTGGAGGTGCTGCTTCGTTCATGTACCGGACGCCCCCGTCAAGCCGTCGAAATTTCGCCCCTACCTCTACGGCAGGCCCTTCAAAGTTGTGAGCGACCACCACGCCTTGTGTTGGCTAGCCACCTTGAAGGACCCTTCATGTCGCCTCGCACGATGGAGCCTGAGACTTCAAGAATATGACATTACTGTCATTTACAAGTCCGGCAAAAAACACTCTGACGCTGACTGTCTCTCTCGTGCGCCTGTCGACCAACCGCTACCCGACGACCCGGATGACGACTACTTCTTGGGAACGATAACTACCGACGACTTCGCTGAACGACAGCGGGCCGACCCGGAACTTAAAGCCCTAATAGAATACCTCGAAGGCAGGACCACCGAAGCCCCGAAGGTATTCATGCGCGCACTTGCGTCGTTCTTTCTACGAAACGGTCTCCTA